TAGTGCCTTGCGAAAGTATTCGGCCCCCTTGAACTTTTCAACCTTTTGCCACATTTCAGGCTTCAACCATAAAGATGTAACATTTTTATTTTTTTGTGAAGAATCAACAACAAGTGGGACACAATCGTGAAGTAGAATGAAATTTATTGGATGTGTCAAACTTTTTTAACAAATAAAAAAACTGAAAAGTAGGGCGTGAAATATTATTTGGCCCCTTTTCAGTGCAGCAAACTCACTCCAGAAGTTCAGTGAGGATCTATGAGCGATCCAATGTTGTCCCAAATGACTGATGATGATAAATAGAATCCACCTGTGTGTAATCAAGTCTCTGTATAAATGCACCTGCTCTGTGATAGTCTCAGGGTTCTGTTCAAAGCGCTGAGAGCATCATGAAGACCAAGGAACACACCAGGCAGGTCCGAGATACTGTTGTGGAGAAGTTTAAAGCCGGATTTGGATACAAAAAGATTTCACAAGCTTTAAACATCCCAATGAGCACTGTGCAAGCAATCATATTGAAATGGAAGGAGTATCAGACCACTGCAAATCTACCAAGACCCGGCCGTCCCTCTAAACTTTCATCTCGAACAAGGAGAAGACTCTGGATGAACTGCAGAGACCTACAGCTGAGGTGGGAGAGTCTGTCCATAGGACAACAATCAGTCGTACACTGCACAAATCTGGCCTTTATGGAAGAGTGGCAAGAAGAAAGCCATTTCTCAAAGATATCCATAAAAAGTGTTTAAAGTTTGCCACAAGCACCTGGGAGACACACCAAACATGTGGAAGAAGGTGCTCTGGTCACATGAAACCAAAATCCAACTGTTTGGCCACAATGCAAAACAATATGTTTGGCGTAAAAGCAACACAGCTCATCACCCTGAACACACCATCCCCACTGTCAAACATGGTGGTGGCAGCATCATGGTTTGGGCCTGCTTTTCGTCAGCAGGGACAAGGAAGATGGTCAGAATTGATGGGAAGATGGATGGGGCCAAATACAGGACCATTCTGGAAGAAAACCTGTTTGAGTCTGCAAGAGACCTGAGACTGGGACGGAGATTTATCTTCCAACAAGACAATGATCAAAACATAAAGCCAAATCTACAATAGAATGGTTCACAAATAAACGTATCCAGGTGTTGGAATGGCCAAGTCAAAGTCCAGACCTGAATCCAATCGAGAATCTGTGGAAAGAGCTGAAGACTGCTGTTCACAAACGCTCTCCATCCAACCTCACTGAGCTCGAGCTGTTTTACAAGGAAGAATGGGCAAGAATTTCAGTGTCTCCATGTGCAAAATTGATAGAGACATACCCCAAGAGACTTAAGTGCAGCTGGAACTGCAGCAAAAGGCGGCGCTACAAAGTATTAACACAAGGGGGCCGAATAATATTGCACGCCCCACTTTTCAGTTTTTTATTTGTTAAAAAAGTTTGACACATCCAATAAATTTCATTCCACTTCACGATTGTGTCCCACTTGTTGTTGATTCTTCACAAAAAATAAAATTTTTATATCTTTATGTTTGAAGCCTGAAATGTGGCAAAAGGTTGAAAAGTTCAAGGGGGCCGAATACTTTCGCAAGGCACTGTGTGTATGTATATATATATATATATATATATATATACACACACAATACAATATACTATTATGTTTTCAAAAATGTTCATAACTTTTATTATGTTGTATTATATTATTTGTGTGTTTTGCTTCTTACCACCAGTTAATTTGCAATTTGTGAATTTTAAAAAGGAAAAAAGTCTCTATACCAAGCTCACAATTAAATTAAATTAGTTTTCGGCACTAAACTAACCTAGGTGTTGCCGTATATTTATTAAATGTACATATTGTGTTAGAAAGAATTAAGGGGAGTGGTTGCGCAGAGGTTAGAGAAGGTGGGCCTGTCATCGGAAAATCAACGGTTCAACTCCCCAGACCAACAACATGAAAATTTGGGTGGAAAAGGTGAAACACCCACACCTGTCTCCACCCTCATTTTACCCACTCTGGGCTCTTGAGCAAGGCCCTTAACCCCCACCATCTGCTCCCCCTGGCACCCTAGATGGCAGCTCTCTGCTCCACACAGATGGCTCGGTGGTCTATGGTTGCATCAGGAAGGGCATCCAACATAAAAACAATTGCCAAGTCTTGGTGCGAGTTAGTTCGCTGTGGCGACCCCTGATGAAGGGAGTAGCTGAAAGAAAAAGAATAGTGTCAAAATTAAACAAAACATTGGTAAATGGTGATGAATGTAATGTTTAAGTATGAGAAAATGTTAAACTTATAATCCTGTACCTAAGTCTGCCACACTGTTTATCTGGTTAAAATGAATAAAACCATCATGTTCATGTTAATATATAATATTATCATATTAATATAGTTAATATATTAATATTATCATGTTAATGTTGTTATTAATATATATATATTTTTCTGAACCTGTTGTCTCTTACCCTATTTTTTGTGCTTTAGTGTGCTGCGGTGTCACCCCTGCCTGGGTGCCATGGTTATCTGTTACACATGAGCTCTACTATGTGGTACATCATGCAGAGCATTCAAAGTAAATACTCTTTGTCTGAGCGGCTCATCCGTACCATCGCAGCCATTCGCTCGTTTCCCCACGACAACGTGGAGGATCTCATTCGAAAGGTATGTCAACCTCTTAAGTGAATAGTTCATGTCATGTGCTGTCAATAAAATTTCTCTCTTCATCTCTGCATTTCTAAGGGAGCAGATGTGAACCGGATGCATGGTACACTCAAACCACTTCACTGTGCCTGTATGGTCGCTGATGCTGACTGTGTGGAACTGCTGCTTGAGAAGGGTGCAGAGGTATGTTGTTAATTCTTTGTACCAAAAAGATTTAGGTATATACTTGACTCTTCTGACAGAAACGTATGAGATGAAAGTCAGTTCAACATGGATTAAGTTGTTTGCATTATTCTTCCAGTATGGCTGTTTGAAAAGTGGAAAAAGGGACATTTTTTGTGTCTAAAATTCATTTAGGTGGCAACTAATGTCAAAGCATAGCAGAACAGGAAAGAGACAGGAGGCACAAATATTTTGTTTTGTAGTCATGTTTTCTTTTTACAATTGTTTTTTTGCTTTTGCAGATTTCATATAGTCATTTTGGAAAAAAGCAAAACAATCAGTTTTCTTTTTTTACTTGCTTTAACACACTTTGATTAACATTTTTTTAAATGCATTATAGTATCGGTAATACATTTGAGAGTGACCTTCAATTAATGAGTTAGCTCGCCATAATTATAAAAACAAACTCAATTACCTTTATTCACATCAGGCATTATATACTTTTTTTTTTTTTATCGTAGAGCTCACAACATTCAAACGTGAATCAATAAATTCGTAATTGTCAGATTATTTGTCAGACATAGTAATCAAATCAGTGTAAAAAAAAAAAATTCAAGTTTATATCATATTTTGATTGTAGGTTCTTATTTTTGTTCTTTAAGAATGAATCAAACTATACATAAATACTCATTTCTAAATATGTGCATTCTAATTCATGCTAGTTGTAAATTTACACATAAATGCTGTCAATTAGAATTTCAGTTGTCGCACCAAAGTTGTGTTTTCCCACAGAATATGTTCAGCGTATTTCTTTTCCCCCGTTAGGTGAATGCTTTGGATGGTTATAACCGCACTGCTCTGCATTATGCTGCAGAGAAGGATGAGAGCTGCGTGGAGCTGCTGTTGGAGTATGGGGCCCAGCCAAACGCCCTGGATGGCAACAAGGACACTCCGCTTCACTGGGCTGCTTTCAAAGACAACCCTGAGTGTGTGAGGGCCCTGCTGGAGAGCGGCGCCTGTCCCAACACCCGGGACTACAACAACGACACACCTTTGAGCTGGGCAGCAATGAAGGGCAACCTGGAGAGTGTCAAAGTCCTATTAGACTATGGTGCGCAAGTCCACGTGACTAACCTAAAAGGTCAGACCCCTATATCCCGACTGGTGGCCCTGCTGGCCCGGGGCCTGGGTACCGAACAGGAGGAAGAGTGCTTGGAGCTGCTGTGTCGAGCAGCGGGGCGGTTTGAGATCCGACGGGCTGATGGCACCCTTCCCAAAGAGCTGAGTAAAGACCCCCAACTGTTGGCAAGGCTGACCAACATGGTGACTCAGGCTCCGACACTTCGCTCTCTGGCACGCTGTGCCGTACGGCAGAGTCTTGGTATGCAGTTCCTTCCCACTGCTGTAAAGGAGCTTCCTCTACCAGAGATCGTCAAAGACTATCTACTGTTGAGAGACTGATAATGACAGTGTCTAGGCATTCTCTGACCTCACTGGTTGGTAATTAGACAGCTCATCACACTGCATTTATAGGCAAGGTAATACAGATGTATGTAACAAAGTTCATGCTCAATCACTGAGAAAGATGTGTAAAACACCGTGAGTCTTTATTATTTTGTAGTTGCACAAGAACACCTGGATGAGCAGAAATTCAAGTGCAGAATATTAAGTCTACCAGCACATTTTCAAAAGCGTAACGTCTTTTTAAGTGAAGCTTGGTAGCACAGAAAAACTTTAAGGTGGTATCTCACTGAGCTGTGACTTTTGGGAAACTAGTTATTGACTCTACATTGTGAGAAAATATGTGAATTTTCCATTGCAGTCCCACTGAATCATGAGTGTTTGCAACCAAGTGGCCAGTAAGCTGTTGAAAATTATGGTTTATTTTTGTGTGCGCAGCCTGCAAAACTGCATTCTTGGCGATGCACACTATTTTGTTGTCCACCTCAGCTTGTTGTCCACCTCAGCCTCTTCACTTGCTTTTATGATTTAATTTACTGGAGGAAACTTTTGATATGAGGATGAGCAGATCTGGAAAAGATCAAAATTATCATTAGAGTGTTTTTTACACCTGGACGTTAGCCTCAGATGCTTTCATGCAGCTGTCAAAATACATCTGTAGAGCTCTGGAGACAGGTTGGAGACACCCACAATTACTTTGAGACTATTTTAAGAGAAAAGCTGCAGCATGTGCTGTGCTGTGCTGTGTACCCCAAAGTCTCACAGATAAGAGCCCTGCAAAAGTTGCAGGACATTTTGAAGACAGTCAGGAGCAGCCCAGTGAGATACTACCCTTACCAGCCAGACACAATTAAGTTTGCTATAACTAATTAGAGTTAAATTGGGCATGTAAGTAATTTACTTAAAAAAGTGAATTATGCTGTGAATATTTAAAGAAAAAGTATGAAATACTGAGCATAGTTCTAAATGAGGAATCATGATGTGATGGTAAACGTTTAGTTTATGAATGAGGACATGATGAGGTGCACTATGCAGTAATTATGTGTGAGGGTACAGGTCTTATGTACTGCACAAAACACATGGATTAAAACAGTTTTAATAATGTCCATCTGTCTCTCAGTCATATCTACAAGGAGGAAAATTAGGATTTTAAAAGCACATTTTGGAGGAGAATAACTCGTGCCAGATGGGATCATCTTATTTAGATCTAACTGAGGGATGATGAAAATGATTTCCAGTAAATGTGCCAGGTAGTCTTTGGAAAACGTTCAGCGCTAACAAAGGTGATGTCATCATATCTGCATCCACGTATGGCTCATTGCTTGGACTTCATCTCACTGATGAGTGCTGTTCTACTTGCCACAGAACTTGTTTTTTTGTTTGTTTAGTTTTTGATAATAGTGGTTTCAGGTTGTAACTTTAAAAAGTTTAGACTTTCAAGGGTGCTCACTTGTCTAAAAATAAACAACTTTGTTTTAACCATGTTTAAATGTAACCATGAGATGGCATGATAAGTTGTGTCTGCGTTTTGAGAAAGACTTTGCGAACCGTGTGCTAGAGATATGTCAGATATTTTACAGTTTCTGTGCTTCATTTTGTTTGCCTGCTTGATGGATGAACAAACCCTAATATTATGTCTTGTGTATGTACGCAAAGGTGCTTTATTTCTTTGTCTCTGTATTGCAAATAAATGCTTTTATAATAAGTCACCTTTTTAAATGTTTCTTTCTCTTTCTTGCCTTTAAAAACAAAAATATTGCATCGTATTGCGAATTTCAGCTCCTGATGCATGAGATAAAAAGACTGCTGCAGGGTTTTTGATGGATCAAAACAGCCCCTGTGTTTTTGGTTAAATAATTATGTGAAAGTGTTAAGTTTGTGTTGAATTTAAAATAGAGTAAAAGAAGGTGGACTAAAAATTTTAAAGAAGAAGTTTACTGAACATCGATGCTGTAAGTATTTTGTTTGATTACAAAGCTATCCAGCAAATGTTCAAATCTCAACCCACTAGAGGTCTCTCTTACACTTCTTTAAATCCTTGGAGGTAATTTACTTTTTCAAGCAGTATTTGTAATAGATTACATCAGCTGTCTCTTATTCAACATGTGTCTTTTTAAATGTCTAAACAGGCAAATTAGCATAATTTTTACATTTAGGATGATTGTTTTATATGCAGTAAACACATTTTATATCCCGTCAGGAACTTGGAGTCAGGATTGTAAGATGAAAATACCAAAACAGTATTTTTCTGTATATATTTTACAGCTAAGTGCTAAAACTAAAGGGGAGCCCAAGTAGTCCTAACTTTAAGGAGCGGTTCAAAAAACTGATGGTATATATATTTTATTTTAATGTTCCGCAGTATAACAGCATTCACTAGAGATGAACAGGTAACACTTTTATTAAGACCGTGTATTATTAAGATTCCAAATAAAATATTTGGACGTTTTGAATTTTTCCAAAATGCATTACTGTCATAATATATAAATCACTGACCTCATTTTTGTTGACAAAAATAAAAGTGATTAACCATCTGTACATAGTGTGTACTGTACTGAACAACAAAAGCTTTCAGTGCACTTAAAAAGCTAAAATAATTTAATTTTCAAAACTGCACAAAGACGGTAATAAATGTCTTAATATGATATGCATACCATATTATTGTCTTATGGCAGAATGCATTTATTTTAATATAGATTCCCAATAATAAAAAAAGTTGGGATGGTGCAAATGTGAATAAAAACTGAATGTAATGGTTGTATATCCAAATTTTTTAAATAACTGAACTTCTCAAAAAAAAGTTCAGACAGAGCCATGTTGTGAAGCCAATTTTTAACAACCCTGGGTTTTCTTTGCTATTTGTTTTCTGGATGGGAACATAATGCTGTACTAAAATCTTTATATTTCTGCAATATTGGTGCCTTTCCAGATGTGTAAACTGCCTCTGTTATATACACTAATGCACCCACATACCATCAGAGAAGCAGGCTTTTAAAATGTGCACTGATAACAAGCCAATGGTGCCTCTTCTTTTTATTAGAGGACATTACATTTGTAATTTCTCACTAAATCAAATGTTTATTCAGCCTTTCTAAAATGCTCTTTTCTTACTGACCTGTTATCATTTAATTAAGAATAATTAGCTGTTTCCTAAAGTGTACCACTTTAATGTTCATAATTTTACCCCAAAATAGTAAAAAAAAAAAAAAAAAAGTCTTAGTTGAAACATTATATACATTTATTCTATTTAATTGTGAATAAAATTCAGGTTTATCAGATTTATAAATCAATGCATTGTTTTTATTTACAGCAGTGCACGTCCCGATTTGTAGTATATTTGACAAATTTTTGGTGAGAAAGCCAAAATTGATGATGGTGATTGTTTTAAGTCTTTAACACACTTTCTGATGGTAGATAAAATTTTCGACCCAGTAACTCTGTAATGTTTAAAACATAAATACGTTTATTTAGCGGTTTCGCACTGAAGCGCGTGGAAACATTTTAAACATGGCGCCGAAGTCTCGTGAATTCTCGCGATAAGTCTCCGTCGAGGGGAGTGTCAAATTCCAAGAGAGGAGAGGGGAGTCAGAAAGAGGGGCGCCAGGGTGAGTTTGTAAATACTTTATCAACTTTTAAAATAAAATAAGACGTGTCGCCATATTTAAACTATTACAAACTTTTGCTTGGGGCGGCACTTTTCGGCGCTTGTTACTGTAAAGTTCGTGTCAGTTGGTTACATTCGGACCCAATGTCTGTCTGCCTGTCTGTCTCGCTTTGCACTCAAGTGTCATTCCGCTAACCAACTAACTGCTTTGTTTTTTTAATACAAAATATAATAACGTCATTAAAACACACCGGCTCGCTTGATACGTCGATAAATTAGCGCTAATGTGTGCTTGTTGTCAGCACAGAAACTGTTAGCAACCTTGTTATTACACTTATGTGCGCTCGGCCTGTCGTTAACGCGTTAGCAACAGAAGCTAAGCCATTAAGATTTTTTTTTTTCGCGAGGATACAAAAAGTTGGTTTCGTGGTTTTAGCCAATGAGGTTCGGCTGGCTGGTGTTATTGACAGGGTCCAAAGCTGTGTGTGCGTGAGAAGCTATTGACTGACGTGCTTTGGACCAATTGCTAAAAAGTACAGGCGGTCTTGTTACGGGAAAAGGCAGGGCCAAGTACAGCCAGAAGGTAATGGAGGCTAAAAGAGACCAACTTTTTTTTTTTTTAAAGACAGTCAAGCGTTGTCTGGAGGAAGAAACTGAAGTTTGGGAAAACAGTTTGACACTGCAATCTTGGATGTACGCAAAGGATATCGCAATTTTCATGCAATGTGGCCGCATCATCTAAATTAAAAATGGTTTTGGTCTTGAAGAAGAGCCTCAGTAAGTCGTGATAACTTATTTTCTGCAACTTGAACTCCTGCACGTCGGACTGTCCGTGTCCCCATGCATGTCAACACCTCCTTCAGGAATGTAGGACATGTTTTTGGCACAGTTGTACCCCATTCCTTCACTTAAACTGTTGCACCAGAGGAAACTACAGCACTAAACCCAGCTGAAGCCACTGGGCCATTCTTAGAAACTACAGGACACACACTTGAAGTCGTATGCAACAGTTAACAACATGGTAAGGTAATAAATAGTTAATAATTGTTTTCAATTAACTTGGTGTCAGCATCGCTGGACAGATACTACAAAAAACATTTATTGTTTAGCCAAAAATCTCTCAAGTGGACAAAAGTTGGATTTCATTTGTTCCACTAAGTAAGTCCTGTGTTCAATTTGCTTGCATACAAAATGGCATACATAATTTACATTATTTATACAATATTGGTGGCTATGCTCATGAACAAAACATTTTTTTCTATTGCAAATTATTTCTTCCTTCCCACCTTCATGTCTTTTGTGGGGTCTTCCCTGTCCTCTGGCAATTCAAGCCTCAGATTCCAGCGTCACGGCTACAGCGCGAGCTATTAATACAGTTTGTTTAGTCAGTTTCCTAGCAGGCTGCATCAAACACTGGAGGGCTGTCGCTGATTATAGCCGGGACTTGTTCCCCAACACACCTGCTGAGTCGGAGAAATCCAATTTAACAGTGGCACTGTGGCTGCGGCCCTATAAGAGAGGGAGAGGAATTAGGGTACTTTGACTGCTTCCACGTTACCATGGATGAAAATCAATATTATCAGCAGGGTATCAGTATTGGCTGATATTAATTAAAGTTAAATATCGGACATCGGCCATCCCATCAAAATAGCTCACCAATATAAAAGGCTCTGTTTTTGTAGCGACAAGGATGCCTGCAGTGTCAGCACAACGTGATGATGTCACGCGCACGGCCTGATCTGATCATGGCGGAGAAGAAGGAAAAATGCACTATGCACTACTACTTGTGCGCTTTTCACTTGTCGCTTGTGAACAGGTTGAGTTTAGATTTGTGAAAATTTACAAATGTGCACTGTTCGAGTGTTGTCATTGTGTTAGAGAGAGTAAATGCCATGAATAAATTATCCAAGTTGAAGTGTTACGTCATTTTCAGCTCCCTTTTTGGCACCAGTATATCACATCAATATCGGTATTGGTTATCGACCAAATAAGTTTTAATGTATCGGCATATCGGATATTGGCCAAAAATCCAATATCGTGCATCCCTAATGAAAAGGAAAAAACAGGTCGAGACACCTGTAATGAATATCAGTGATGTGAGGGTGCTGTAGCTAGCATTTTCACACAGAGTTGAGCTCTACATGAAGTTTATCATGGTGCAGTAAAATTTTAGATAGTTCTTAGATCACACCCAGTTTCCTCTCAGTGAGACATTTGACAAATTTGAAGAAACACAGCATTTTGTAAATTTGACAGAAATATTGATAGTAGTGCAGTGTTTGGAGGTCTAGCTCAAGATAAGTTGTTTTGTTTTAAATGTTAAAAGTTCTCATTGCAAGTTATTACATCAAAATGGTTATCCTGAACTTTATGAAATGGTGCAGTTTGAGTTTACGCTCATAGTTTTTCAGCAGTGGTGTGTACAGTTTTGCTAATCTGCTAATAGCAGAACTAATTTTTTGTTTAGCAGATTAGCACTTTTGCTAACTTTGGAAACCGTTAGCGGATTTAGTTTCTGCTAAATTAGGTTTTGCCAACTTTAAGTAAGCTAACAAAGTTCCTGTCTGTTGTGGGCACGTCTCGAAGAGTCCGTTAGGCACACTATTGGCTTATAAAGTCTACGCGTGACAAGATGTGATTGGTTGACGCTGCTTCAACCGGAAGGATACATAAGATGTGTGATGCAGATTAAGTGACAGTCGTCTGAGCGGTTAGTGGTTTAGTGTTAGCATCCACTAATTGTTTTTAACCTGTGTAGAGGTTTAGTGTTAGCAAAGCTATTTTTTTTTAGTTAGTGGAATGTGGTTTAGCGAAGCTAACTTGTTTAGCTGTGCCCAGCACTGTTTTTCAGATATATTGATATGTAATTCTGAAATGCGGGTATGCACACAATGTAAACAAAGCACTTGGCTGAATCTGTCAAAAACCACATGGCTTGATTCATGTGATTGACCTACATTAGTATGATTGCGGTCAGTGTGGGTAAGTAAGCAAATGTGGCGGACAAGCAGGGAATCTCAAAGAAGTTGTTTAGTTAAATATAAAAGTGGATCTTCTGCTAAACTCGAAAGAACGAGTAATTCAACTGTCAAGAATAAATATCAGGGCTCAATCAGGGCAATGGAGCACCATAAAGACCTAGTTTGGGTTCAAACAAACTTATAGATTGGCTTGTTTACTGTTCAACTTAACTGAGCTTTTTGCATTAGTTACTCAACATTTCTGAGCATTAGCATGTTCTAGTACATTGAAAAATTGTCAGACCTCTCAATCCCAAATTGCTCTTTCATGGACATCAAGATTGCTGACTTTATTTTAGTCACTTCAGTTGTTTCTGAAGGTAAACAATTCCTCGTGGTATTTGGCAGCAGTTAACAAATGACAAATTCTTGACCTAAGAACACATTAACCATCATCAGTATAAGAAAAAAGCGCACTTTTTGAATTTCTTATTTTTGACCTGTTTTCATGATTTTGCAATGAGCATCTTTAAATATTTTCTGAATGTAAGCTGTGGCAGCTTTCGATAACAAACGGTGTTTTCCATCTACAGGTATGTCCTCCTGTATTTATGGTCTTTTCCACAAAATCAAATCCCACATCTTATGTTTGCACCAGCCAGCCAAGTAAATGTCTAGTCTTAAATAAGATGTAAACTCTGAAATGTATTCCCTCTCCTGATGCCAGATGTGTCTGTTTCCCCACTCAGTCCACACCCTCGGTATAACGAGTAAGATGAAGTATCTCGTTTGCCAGCACAGCTCTGCACAAATAGACTCAGTGACTTGAAGACAGTTTGTGAAGTCCCCGACACTGACTTGTTGCCTTTGTCCATCATATAAGAGGTCTGCTGTTCCTTGTGAGCTTTTATTTTGCAATTTGTTTGCCTGCAAATGTGATGCACACCCAGAAAGAAACAACAGTTAGGCCCATTACAAGCTTGGCGTCATGGGAGCGTCATATTCTGGTGCAAGGCTTCAGTAATCATGTGTTGGCTCAGGGGCAGTTGTCCTCAGCAAAAAGAGAGATGAAGGGACGAAGAAGGAAAGTGCTTTGACTTCAGTACTGGGAAAACTTTCAGACATGTATGCCTCGCCAAAAAAATGATTAATTTGTCCCACTCAGTAATGTTAGGCCACATGCTTAACCCATGTAGCAGATATAAAAAGCGGATTTTCTGGTCAGTATCTCGGTGTTCACATTTTTAAGAATTTTCTTGCTGCTCAGCGTCTTTTTAAGTAATACACAGAAGCTATTTTGAAGTCCCAAAAGATAATTAAAGGTGATAGCTTTTGTCATTCTTTTTTTTAGTACATAAAGTGCTTGATGTATGTTGGTGGCTGCTGCACTGTCAGTGGGTCAGTGTTGTGCAATAGCGACCAGACATCACTTTGTGCCAGCTGAGAATGCTAAAACATTCATGTCTGTCACCGCCCCGCACCCCTTCGCCGACTATTCCCCTGATCTAATTTTAATGAGTCATTTTATTCTTAACTTCTTCAGCTTGTCTTTACGAAGAGTTTTGTCCAGCTGTGCAAAGAGCAGAGCGGTGCAGGGTGGAGTTGGGGTTAAGCTGCTGATTGAAGCAGCAAGTGATTCTGTACTTGAGAAAACAATCCAGTCGAGAGCTTTTGCATGTTTCACTTTTTACAAGAGCATTCCCTCATGGAGAGCGGGGTAAAGGAGTATTTGGAGCTGTAAGGGTGTTTCCTGTGGAGTTATTAGTTCAGCAGCACTGTTCTGTGTTTATTTTTGATGCTTTTAAAGTTATTCAAGCTGCAATTGTGCACAAAAAATTCTTGCTAAAAAATTGGTCTTCCTTTAAAGATTGCATATTGCCCACAACCTTTCATGTCAGTTTTAGACTAAGATCATCTTATGTTGGGAAACAATGAAATTATAACTGGCTCGAACCTAAAAAAATAAGGTTATGCACATTGTTGTGCATTATCCTAATGCATGCTCAATAATCCAGGTAGAAAAATCTAAAAAAGTTAAGTCAGATCCTCTGGAAGGTTTCAAAAAACAGACAAAAAACCTGTAGAAATGTTTCGTCTTTCATCCGAAAAACTTCTTCAGTCTGAGGAGCTGTATTCAGCTCAGCTTTATAAATAGCACCTTCTCATAGTGGATCCACTAGTTTGTTGTTGACATTCAAAATGAGCTGTTCACATGATCAAGGAGGACCATCAGCCTAACCATGGACATAACATGACATAACAATGGCATACATTATTACAAGATTGGGTAATGTGTTGTGAAAAACTTGGTACCACATATAATTTTAGCTCATTAACTAAGATTGTGTGATTTATAGCCATTTTGTGTTGGCTAAGGTGGATTAGTGATTCATGGGATATTTTACTAAAAGACAGTTCAGAGGATAACACACAGCCATTAACACATTTAGCCTATTATCTAGATAATTGACTGAATTGTAGCCATTTTTGTGTTGTCTATGCTCAGTTGGCTGTAGAGATCATTTTGCCTTAGATTGACTCAAAGAGGTAATCATTTACAGACTTACATCCAATTCTTACTTTGAGACAGTTTTAATAAAATCCATCAAGTGACTCACAAGATATTTTATTAATAGAAACAGTTAACTCTAAAAGTTAACAGCAGGGTTTTAAAAAAGATCTTGTGCAAGCAGTGGCTGTCAGCTACTACCACACCAGACTTTAGCTCAGTATCTTTAAAACTGGCTGAGTTAGAGACATTTTTTTGGTGTTTTCTAAGGGTGCTTAGTTGTGTTGGCCGTCTTAAGTGGAAATAGCTCCCAAAAATAAATCAGTTGTAGGTGTGCATCCGAAGACGAGAGTGTCGTTAAAATCTTTACACTGATTCACATGATATTTTGCTTACACTCGAGGCACACACCAACACGGGCAAAAACATCACTTCCTTTCACCTGCTGCGACGGCCAATACCACGTGTTACATAAAGTTATTATAAAGTTTCCATTTTAAGCTGCAGTAAAGTTTTCCACTAAAACTTTTGACGAGTCAAATGAGCTTTTAACACTTTGACCTATTTCTTGTTTTTTCTCTCAGAAGTAATGCCACCATTTCCTGAAAGCACCAATGTTCTACTGATGCATGATAACACACTAGTTCTACAATTTTTGTGTAAAACTTGTTTGATATTTTGTCTAAACTTCCTCTCTTGCCTGTTATCACAAACACCAAAGTTACTGAGACTAACAAGCAGATCTGACTGTGATCAGGGAGAAACAGTTGAAAGAAGAGTGGGAAACTCTGGGCGAAGGTGTTGCAGAGGTAAAGAGAGGGAGCGGTAACATGAGAACAAGTGGTTAGAAGTGAGTGTAAATGAGTGGCAGGAGAGGGAGATGTGTTTGTGTCCTCCTTCACTTTAAGCAGCTCATTGGCCAACCAGAAGCCCCTCAGTGAGAAGGAAGTATCACCAGGGAAACTTCTTCTCGCTGCCTCTGTGCATGTTTTCCTCCGGTGCCAGGGTTATTTTTAAACAGCATTCTGCTTCCTGCTCAGACTACAAGCCACAGCATCCCAGTTTTATTTTTTTCTTCCTTTTTTTTTTTTTTGTCAGGATTTGTCTGTTGAGAGATCCGAAAAAGCTACAAGCAACAATGTTCTCCTCTTCTCCTCATCCACAGTTACACTGCAAGCTCTTTGCAAAAATGGGGGACGACAAACCTTTTGTGTGCAGTGCTCCCGGCTGTGGACAGGTAAGTCTTTTCCCACTTTCACCTTGATTTTATATGAGCTGACAACTTTAAGAAATTGAAAAAGGTAACTCATGTTTCCGAAGTTTTATCCTTTTTTCCTGTAATACCTTCTCCCTGCTGATGTAAGCAAACCATCTGTGATTTATGCAACTTCTAATGAGCATCACACGAGTCAGACTCCTGTGAGACGAGACCGTCTCCTTTAGCAGTGACTCACACTGAAAGCTCCAGTGAGTAATCAGAGCGCAGTTATTGTTTCAACCTGTCACCGCTGAACGCCTGCAGGCACAGGTTAGAGCCGCGGCAGTGACTCAGCGGAGCGCTGCTGGTACACTCACATGCTTCTTAGTTAGTGTGCTGCCAGGGCTCGGCTTGATATCATACATAGAATAGAGGAAGAAGAAATTCTGAAACATAAACTCTAGGTCGCAGTTATTCAACACAGGAAATATCTGATCTCATTTAGTTGGACGTAACAGAGTCTGGGGTGGAATATCTTTTCTAAAGTTTAGAGAAAGTGTTCATGCGGTTATAAAACATTTGACTAATGTACACTTTTAAAAATCTCTAACTAGAAGTGATCCGTTGTACATAATTGTGGTACAAACAACAGTCATTTAAAGCAATCCTGCATGCTTTTTTGATGGATAAATGATACTTTGTTCTTTATTTTCCCCAGACTTGTGGCGAATGAGACTTTTATGTTTTGTTTGACATCATTCTTTGATGCAAATGGATTGCATGTGTAATTCACAGGATTATTTGTTCAGTAAACAGCTTAAACAACAGCTTGGAGGCTTTTCGAGGCAAAGTGACACAGATGACGGAGCAGGTCCACAACTGTGGTCTTGTTTGAGTGTCAAACTAAATACGTCTGAGGTTGTGTTATGTTGTAAACATCTGGTGATGTTTTTTATTATTGCAACATCACCTTTGTTTATAGAACTTTGGCTTGAGAATGTTTTTAGCTGAGAAATTATATTTTTAGTTCTTTTGGTCAATGTATGAGTGAAATTTCTTCTATCGTAGCCAATACCATTTTAAATTAAGTTGATTTTAATGTGTTTGCGTAGGTTCCAAATAGTGCACATTATTTTTTACTTTCTCCTGAAGATGAAACGTTAATGTTTTTGCCCAAGTGTGTGCATGCATGTGCATTTTGTACTGCTATTATTAAAATATCTGATGAGTAAGTGAACAGATTTTAAGGAAACTATTAGAAAGTAATCAATGGCAGTATATCTGCAACCAATTAACTTTTGGAGTCAGCTCAATTCAAAATGGCCGTCAGCTATGCAATCATAGAAAACACAAAGATGGTTAACTCAGACAATTTTACAGATATTGAGTCAAATTTGGTGTGATAGTAGATGAAAGTTATTACTAACTTATACTCTGAGCAGTAATTAATTCACTAGCTTTATTTTAAAACTTTAACTACGACAGTCAACTTCGTCTTCTTGTTACCAAAATAGCTCATAACCCACAGGATGTATTTTAACAAAACTTTCAGAATGTAAACATTGGATGCACATCTGCAGCTAATTAACTTGCAGAGTTAACCTAATTCAAAATGGCTTCCAAAGCTAATCAAAATTAGCCAGCACAAAAATGGCTCTAACTCAGTTTTACAGATACTGAGTTAAAATGCAATGTGGTAGTAGCTGAGAGTCATTCCTAACATCAAACACTACACATCGCACCAAATCTTTGCCTTAAATTTTGACTTTAGGAACAGCATCAAACCTTGATTATCTGTCAGCAAAAATGTCTCATGAACCACTGGACTGAAAGTAATCATTTGACGTACATCTACAACTGATTAGGTTAATTCAATCCAAGATTTCCACCACAGCTTATTGTCCTTAGTCAACTCAAAAATAGAGTCAATCAGTTTTACAGATACTGAGCTAAAATTGGTGTGGTAGAAGCTGTTATTCACAACACATACGTAAAAGCCATATTGGCTGTCAAAATACAGAATGTTTCTATGTTTGTGATTGAATTTTGTGTATATATGTGTATCATCTGTAATTAAAACCCAAAAAATACCCGTCATTAATATAATAAATTAGAGAAATTTAACAGTAATGTTTTGTTGCCAACAATTACAAGTTGTTTGTTTACATTGACAAGTACACATCTGACAGTCTCGGCACACGACGGATATTGATTCAGTAAAATAATCCCCTAATGTAAATAGAGTCAGAGGGAGAACAATAGAATCAGAGACACCAGGTCGAAAGGTGAAAAGGTAAAGTTCTTGTCTCTTCTTCTGAAAAGAAACGGCGACTACAATCTGTCAGGAGAGTCGTCAGAAGTACCGGTAGTTATTTTGTGCGAGGAAATTTAACAGTGGAGAGCGTTAAAACAAAGGTTGGCGCAAGGATTCTATGCAAAGAGTTGTTGAGATATTTTATAGTCCACTGGGAGAATTTCTGTAATTAATCGCTGAGTTTTGTTATAAACTAGATGAGGAGTAGTTCTTTTCTAATGCAATGTTTACAAAAACCCAAAGTTATGAGTTACTTTAACCTCCAAACAATCAATTAATGATGTATAATTAAAGCCCCCGCAGGGCTGTGTACTGAGCCCCCTCCTGTTCACTCTGCTCATGTATGACTGTGCACCTACCCATCCAGGCTGTCATATTGTAAAGTTTGCAAACGATACAGCGGTGGTGGGAAGCATCAAAAACAACGATGAGTCCAGCTGGCAGGAGGTGGAACACCTGGAGAGCTGGTGCAGGAAGAACAACCTTCAGATCAATGTGAAGAAGACGAAGGAGATGGTCATGGACTTCAGAAGGAACAAACACACCTAGCCCGCCCTGAACAGGGGAGGATCTGTGGTGGAAGTGGTCTCCAGCTACAAGTACTTGGGTGTGCACCTGAATGACAACCTCAGCTGGGGCAACAACACTACCAGCCTGATCAAGAAAGCTCATCAGAGACTCTTCTTCCTCAAGTGGCTGAGACGAGCTGGTCTGGGAAGCTCAGTCCTCACCAACTTCTACAGGTGTGCAGTGGAGAGCATCCTGTGCTCGAGCATCAACGTGTGGCATGGAGGCTGCACAGCTGTAGAAAGAAAAGCTTTGCAGTGATTGGTGAAGGCTGCACAGAAGTCTGTTGGAGTCAGCCTCCCCACCATCACAGACATCTACACCTACAGATGCAGGAAGAGGGACACCTGCATCATGAAGGACCCCACTCACCCAGCACACACACTTTTTGCTCCACTCCCCTCAGGAAGGAGGTTGAGGAGCATTAAGTGTAGAACCACTAGTCTGAGGAACAGCTTCTACCCTGAGGCTGTTAGACTCATGAATCTCTAACTAGAATAATCACTGTGAAAAATCACATGTTGCTGCTGATCTGTTTCATGTTGCTGTGTTCATTCGTACTCATCTGCTCACACAGACTTGTGTTCGTGCTGCTGTTAGGCGTATTGTTTTTATTGTTTTTATGCTATTAGTGCTTAGTGTGCTTTTAGTTAACATTTTTCTTAGTTCATATCTTAGATCTTATTACTGTTTTTCTTTTACACACAGTTTAATACTTTTGTTTGATGTAACTGGGACCCTGTGTACACAATTTTGTTCCACCACATGTATCACATGTGGTGTGAATGACAAATAAAGAACCTTGAGTTCTTGAATAAACTGTGTTAGAACTTAGAAGCATAAAAATTAAAAGCAAAAACCATTGAAATATTGTTTATTTTGTCAACTATGTCATGTTACATTTTAAAGTTTAGTTAAAAAAAATCCAACACAAATTAATTCATTCAACCTTTATTTAGACAGGTTAATCCCACTGAGCCTCGGGGACTCATTAGCAAGAGAGACCTGAAATTATCATGTTGATTGACAAAAAAACAACACATTTATTCTGAAATATTCTGGTTAGTACCAAACATTCTGAGATTCAGTGAGCAGTGGTTTTGTTGTTTGGCCCTAAATAATATCACTAAGATCATATGTATCTATTTATTTATTTGTGTTAGATACAGAACATCCCTAACATTACAAGGTCTTAACGTCCAGATGCAGTTTTACTGCTGCCCTTTACGAGCGACAGTTGTCTACCGGGAAAATCCGAATCGTGCCCATAATAGAACATGGATGATTGACTTCTGGCTTTGCTCAGGGTTTTCCTTTGACTGAGTTAACATCAACAATATTAACAGCAGACCCCTCCCCCCACCCTTCTTGTTTCTGTAAATATGTTGCTCACTTATTTCTTGCATGTTGTTGGCAGTCCTAGCTGGTATTTTCTCACTCCAGGAGATTAGTTGGGGATAGTTTCCTCCACAAGTTCTAGTCGACTTGTTCACAGGGAGAGACAGACGGGGCATGTTGCTGTACCAGTGATGCATCTAGTGGGGCTAAAAGTAAGGCTCCTGACACTCGCCTGTGTTTCCACTTCACCTTCCTGACTGAACTCGCAACTGTAACACGGCACCCTGAAATGGGCCGCAGTTAATAGTGAATTTGTTGTTGCTAGAGCCGAGATTATTCCTCCTACATCTTTGGGTGAATCACGTCGCCACTTCCCAAGAGAAGATGTTCTGTGTCTCAGAGGACGGCTGTTCTTTCTTTCGTCTGCGTGTCCGATTTGGGGTCACTGCCAAACCTGTAGCTTCCAGTGCAATACTTGATGGGACGCAACAAATTATGGATAAACCTTTCCTTTCCACTGTTGCCACTGTGCTTGCTCAGGATGGGAGACTGCAATGAGGCCAAGATTCAACTTGTCTGCTGGCCTCTTTAGATAGAGAACTTTACTAATTGGCTTTTATGTATGTGAATGTTTCTGTAAAGTGCCCTGAGACAACTTTGTTGTGATTTGGCATTATATAAATTAACTGAATTGAATAAATACAGAAACAGGTTTAAACTCAAATGACTGCTGATATTTTGTCATACACTTGAGATCAGTTCCACTGCTCATTTTTTATCATATTAAAATAATTTCAGTGATTTCATCCACAATCATCCTTTTTGTTTTTTGAACCGTTTTGATTGGTATGAAGTTATTTGAGCCTACATCCTCTGTCTGTAAACACACTACACTAGACAGAAATTATATACCCTAGTTTTTGTGGGTTGTCACATGGTTTTTACTGTATGGGCTGTAAAGTGGTGTGTTACATCTGTCTGTGATTATGGCAATATGATCTCTGGGTTACAGTTAAATGGTCTGTCTGCTCAAGTCACCAGGACACAGTTATCTGTCAGCTAATTTCTCATCATATTCTTCTTTGCTCCAGAGGTTTACTAATGAGGACCACCTGGCGGTACATAAACACAAGCATGAGATGACGCTGAAGTTTGGACCTCCTAGGACCGACTCTGTTATCATTGCAGGTAATGTTGAACATTTGCACCCAACATTCAGTTTTAGCTTTGTGTACTCTACAAGCCACACTGTGGCTTAGAACAAGTGCTACTGTGTTGCACTTTATTTAGATCTGTCCAAAGCTTTTGATACTGTAGACCATGACATCTTATGCCATAAACTGTCAGATATTAGTTTCTCAGACCACACTATCAGTTGGTTTTCTAATCATCTCTCAGACCGAAAGCCATGTGTTCAACACAATGGTACTTGTTCTAGTTATTTAACTGTCAATAATGGTGTACCGCAAGGCTCATTCTTGGAAACCACTCTTTTTACAATCTACATAAGTAATGTAGGTCAGAACATTCCTGATGCATCCTTGCATTTCTTTGCCAATGATAGAGTTGTTTATTGTTGTGCTAAAACAGTTGCTAAGGTTTTCCAGCTTTTACAGTCTGCATTCGACATCATTCAGTCAGACTTGTTCCGTCTCAAAATGGTGCTAAATGTCGATAAAACCAAAGGGATGTTATTTTCAAACAGGAAGTCGGTACCAGCAATCCTTCCTCCTATCTTATCTATGAATGCTGTTCCTATTGACTTTATGGATTCTTACAAATACTTGGTAATCTTGGTCGATGCCACATCTCTCTTTTAAGCCGCATGTCGAAAACTTGATAAAGAAACTGAAATTAAAATTGGATTTCTTTTTCAGAAATAGATCTAGCTTAGCTCTGAATACTAGGAATCACCTTTTAAGTTTAATCTGCTATTTTCCTTCCCTCCATTGACTATGGTGACATTGTTTACTATATATGAATGCTCCTGCCAGCTCCTTGCAGATGTTGGATGTTGTCTGTCATGGTGCACTAAGATTCATAACTGGCTGTAACTATCATACCCATCACTGCACCCTGTATTCATTGGTCAATGGGGGAGTGGTGGCGCAGAGGTTAGAGAGGTGGACCTGTCATCCGAAGATCGCCGGTTCACGCCCCGGCCCCGACAGCATCAAAATTGTGGGTGGGGTAGGTGAAACACTCACACCTGCCCCCACCCTCATTCGCCCCACCCTGGGCCCATGAGCAAGGCCCTTAACCCCACCATGTGCTCCCTAAACAGGTCTCTCTTGAAAATGAGTTCTCGTGGCTCAATGAGACTTCCTGGATAAATAAAGGCTAAATAAAATTTAAAAAAAAAATTGGTCATCATTAACTTCATGCAGATTCTCACACTGGTACATTTTCATCTTTAAATCACTTCTTGGTCTGCTGCCTTCATATATATCCTCCTACATGTCACTGCTTGAGTGCAGCTACACCGTGCACTCTCAAAACATAATTACCTGCAGCGTCCCCTCAGTGAGGACTGAACTTGACAAAAAGGCCTTCTCCTACTCGACGATTTTAAACAACTTTTAAGTTCAATGCAAAAATCAATATAGACATGTTCCTGTTTTTAATATTTTACCTGGTTTCATAATGTATCTTGATTTTATTTTGTTTTATATCACTACTTTTATTTACTTTTTATTTTATATGCATTTTATGGCTGTTTATTGGTTTAGGTTTATTGTCATATGTAGATCAACACAAGGTCAACAATGCCATGAAATGCTCAGGACGAGAAGAACCTTCTCTGTTGTGTGCACCTCATCTGTGGTTTGTCTAAAACAGATCTACTTGAAAATGAGTCCTGGTGGCTCAATGAGACTAACTTGTATAAATAAAGGTTGAATGGAAAAAAGTACAAAAAAAATGTCAATTTTAATGGATTTGCTAAGTTGATGTTGTGTTGCCAAAATACTGGTTCATTCGTTCAGCTAGCTGCTCATTTTATGCTTGAATGATTATCACGTCAGTGTTAAGTGGCCTAACAAACAAACAACAGATCCTTTGTCTCAAAATTGTCATGTTTAAACAAAGGCAGTGTTTCCCCTAGTTAACTTGCCATGGCGGGGTGCTCATCTCATCCATGCTTTTTGTTGATGGGGGGACGGAGACATGTCTGAACGCAGCTTGTACCAACAGTTTTTGAGCAGGGGAGGGGTGGTGGTGGTGG